AGAACTCCTAAAACTCAAATGGCAAAAAACAATCCAATTAATAAAGTGGGTTAAGGACTTGAACAGACTCTTCTCCGTAGAAGATATATAAATAGCCACTAAAATGAAAAGATATGCAATAGCACTACTTATTAGAGAAATGCAAATAAAAACTACTATAAAATATCACCTCACTGTGAAGTGTGTAAACCTGGTTATTCACAGACCTGTATCCTTGGGGTTAATAATACATTATGTGTTTATTTAAAAAAATTATTAAAAAAAAGAAATATCACCTCATACCTGTTAGGATGCTACTATTTAAAAAAACAAAACAAAAAAAAAAACAAGTGTTGATGAGGATGTAGAAAAATCAGAACTCTTGTGTGCTGTTGATGGGAATGTAAAATGATACAGCCACTGTGGAAAACAGTACAGCAGTTCCTCAAAAGAAAAAATACATATGATCCAGCAATTCCACTTCTGAGTATACCGAAAAGAATTGAAAGCAGAGACTAAAGGAGATATTTGTACGCCCGTTTTCGTAGCAGCATTATTCACGATAGCTGAGACATGGAAGTAAATCAAGTAACCATCTATAGATGAAAGAATAGGCAAAATGTAGTATACACAAACAATGGAATATTATTCAGCTTTGAAAAGAAAGGAAATTCTGCAGTATGCCACAACGTGGATAAGCCTTGAATACATTATGCTAAATGAGTTAAATCAGTTACCAAAAAAACCATACCATATGATTCCCCTTATATGAGGTACTTAGAATAGTCAAAAGCATAATGGAGATAGTGGTGGTTGTCAGGGGCTGAGGGGAAGAGGAGAATGTGGGGTTAAGTTTTACAAGATGAAAAAATTGGGATGGATGATATTGATGGTCACACAGTAATGTGAATGTATCTAATACCACTGAACTGTATGCTTAAAAGTGGTTTTGATGGTAAATTTTATGTGTATTTTGCCACAATAAAAAAGAAACAAAAATGTGTATATAAGAGTATGTGTTTTTCCTTTTACCTCAGGTTCCAGTATGGCTTGACATAGCACTGATTTCAGCATAGTTACATCAAAGTTTTTGAGATCTTATGATTTCTTTCCCTTTACTATATCTTATTTTATTTTTATGGAGTTAAACTGACTCATTTGTTTAGTTTTTATAACACTTAATGCTATTTTTTTTTAAATGTTGTGATTTGTCTAATGTTTGGAAATATTTTTTCCAAATGTTCATACACATCAAAAAATAATTGTTAGAAAGTCTGAATCTCTCCTCTCATATCTCCTTTAGTTTAAACTAGTTGTTCTCTAAGCCTGTTGCATAGTTTGTTGTATCTGGATTTTCCTCTGCTACTATCTTGTGTTGGATATCCTATTTTCTAAACTAGGAGTTCCCTTTTGCTTGGTTTATTTCCTATTTTAATGAAACATGTTCTCTAACAACTCCCTCAGAAGGGGTGCATCTTTTCTTACTCATTGTGTATTTTAAACTATATTTACTTAAAGATAGTTTGGCTGAAGTACATAGAAATAATTTTTCCCGTGCAGTTTTGAAAGTATTTAATAAGTCTGATAGCATTCTTGCTCCAGTTTCTTTGCATTTTGGTTATTTTTTTCTTCTGGCAACCTTAGTGATTATCTCTGTCTCTGGTGTTTTGAAATTTCATGATATGTTCACCAGTCATCCTTTTTCCATTCATTATGATAGCATTTAATAAGCCTTTGTAATTTGGGTATATATGTTTGGGGCAAGTTTTCTTGTATTATTTCTTTGGCAAATTTTTACTTTTCTTTGTTTATTTTCTCTCTCTTTCTCCTCTCCTATTGATGTGGCACTGTATTTCCTGCATTAACTACTCTAGTTGTATGGTATCATTTTTCTTGCCTTCCTACTTTTTGTCTTTTTCATTCAATCTTTAAAAAAAAAATTCTAAACTTAATTTCTTATTTTAATTGTCATATTTAATTTTGAAGAGCTCTTTAATATTTTTATTCTTCCATTTTTCTCTTCATAATTTTTGTAATTGTTTAATGGATATAATAACTTCTTATGCTTCTTTGGGCGTATTAAATGTTTATTATATATTTTTTCTTTTTGTCCCCAGCAGTGTCTCTGATGTCTCCTAGCTCCTTTCTTTATTCCTATCATTTTGATATTTCTGATGTTAAAGGATGTCTTCAGGGGTGCTAGGGTGGCTCAGTCAGTTAAGCATCCGACTCTTAGTTTTAGCTCGGGTCATGATCTTGTGGTCATAAGATCAAGCCCCACATCAGGCTCTGTGCTCAGAATCTGCTCCAGATTCTCTCTCCCTCTCGCTTCAGCTCACATTCTCTCTCTCTCTCACTCTCAAATAAATAAAACCTTTAAAAAAGGTTGTCTAAATAAATAAAGGATGTCTTCAATGGTGTGGTGATCCTTGGCTGCCCATATACTAGAGAGTAAATCACGACCGAGTTCTTTGAATACTTGTTGTTGAATGGGGACAGGGCTTCCTTATATAGTCATAGAGGTTGTGCACTGCAGAACTCCAAAGGGTACTATATATATATACTCTCAAAAAGTATTAGATTTACCATATTAGAAATTTAAAATGTGAGATCTGAAAAATTTGTAACTTAAAAATCAAACTAACAAACCTACTATATAGTTACATAAATAACATATTTTTCTGAGAAATAACTATTTTCCAAAAAACAAAAAACTTAGAACACTGATACCGTTTTGTACTTTTGCGTATCTTTGTAATGTCTAGTTAAGTAGAAGAAAACTGGATTCACATGTTTCTGCGTTCAGTCTGTTGTGATATGTTGTTATTGTGGTCAAAATATATGAAGAATATCCAGCCTTACATGGTACTTCAACAATCTTTTCAAATAATTGTGATTTTTTTGTTTTTGGATACTACATCAAAAATAGACAAGTTGAAGATTTCTTAAAGGTTTTTTGCAATGTAGAATCTCATTCCATATCACTGAACTTTTTAAGCTTTGATACATTCAAATCTGTTGGTCTGTCTGGATCTTTTATTCATGCATGATTTTATAACATCATCAATTAGTCATTTGGAAAATACTGGTTCGCTGAGTTACATAGATCTTGCAAGTGTTGACATCTTTATGTATCATACCAAGTCATTGATATTAGCATAAATCTAATTAATGGTGAATACAAGTTTTCCTAAAATTTACCATGTGTTTGAATTTTATTACTGACAAAAAGCACTGTCGGTTGTTTTCTTTGATGTGATAGGCTTGCTTTGTCAATTTTCAAGAAAATATCTCCTAAATAAGTAAGTCTAAATATTCATAGTTTGACATTCAACCTTTAAAATAAAAACAATGTTCTGTGAAATAATTATGCCAAAGTTCAGCTTGCAACTCAATCATAGACAATTGCAGGGCTTTATGCATACTTCCTTTTTTATCACACAGAAAATTCAAAAGACATGAACTTAAAGACTGATATTTAATAAAGTGAATTTTACTGTTGGTGTTTGCCAGTGAATACAGTGATTACTAGTATAGTTTGGTTTGATGCCACTGCCTTGATTCATGTTAAGATGCCAGCATGCCAGCATATTTACCCACTACTGGTTTTGTACCAAGAGTTTTAATTTCACCGCCTCCTAAAGGTGTTTTGGAGGCCCAAGGTATCTGTGAGATACACTTGGAGAACTGCTGCCATGGATTATAATGTGATGGTTAGTTAATCCTCCTGAATTAGTGCTCTATACAATCTGCACAGTCTGTGTGGGAATTGTTTAGACTTCACCATAAGAAAATCAGATGCTGAGCTGACTCTTTGGTGAGGAAGATACTTTCAAAGTCATTATGGGAAACCTTGTCTTCCTTGAGACTGATAATTTTCTCCAAAGAAGAGTGTTCTAGATTCCAGCTGTTGGTGGTGAAGAGTGATTCCTCTAGTTGCTGGCATTCTGGGAGCCAGGCAGAGGAAGAATTGTGGGGACCTTTATTCAGTTTATGGACTTTGACTAAATTTTTCTGTTTTCTCCCAGTGCCTCATGGCTTCCCTTTGCCGTTCCTGGTGTTCACAAGTCTAAATTGTCTCTAGTTTAGAAAGTTAACTTTTAGCTTCTGTGGTAGAGGAAAGAATAGGTATCTGTTGTGTGCATGAGGGAAAGAGCATTGGATTTCTCAGCAGTCCTTGGGTTTCATTTTTTTATGTACTGGTTCAGATTGCTTCAGTTCTCTGGGCAAATTTTCTTCTCGTTGCACTCCCCTGCTCAGATATTTAGTTGTAACTTCCTCCATGTTGCAAAGTCAACTTCTCAGCCACATTCCATCTAAAAATTTGTTGACATCTCATTGTCAGTTAGTATGCTTTAGTGTTTTCATGGTCTTTATGAATGAAAATGTTTTATGTCTTTGCCTCATTTTACCAGGGTTTTAGAAGAGTAAAAAAAAAAAATGTATGGAATTAATACGCCATTATCAATTTCACAGTCCTCAGTCAATCACTGTACTAGTTAAGAGCTAGACCTAGATTTGGATCTTCACCATTTATTTTGGTTATTGCCTGGGGTTTTCTACTTAACCTACATAGTTGTATTTCCTACTATAGAAATGGAATTGAGAATGTCTAATATGAAGATTAAATGAGATAGTAAAGCTCTTAACATAATACCTCATGCATCATATGTGCTTAATGATTGGTAATTGTTATGAACAGTTAAGCTGGCCTCTGGCTCACTGAAGTTTTACTATGAAAAGCAGGTGTTATAACTGGATAACTGTTTCATGACCTTGATTCAGAGACTTCTAGTATACTGAAATTCTTATTGATTTTTTAAAGAGTTTTAAAAATTCTGTTTTTAATTTTGAGAATTATTATATAGTACATACTTTAGATTAATAAATGTTTTTTCTATTTCGTTGCTATATTAGGTGCACACTTAAATTCCCTTAATCCAGAAAGTTTAGGATACTTAGAGTAGTTTAATTTAAGTTTAACCATGAATATAAAAGAAACATATTCTTAATCATTTCAGGAAATTGCAAGACCTAATATGGCTGAAGGAGAAACAGAAACATCAAATTCTGAAAGGTAAATATAAGGAAAAACTGAATGTCTTGAAATTAAACTACATAAAAAGCTGATATTTGAGCTGTATTATTTTAGTTGACATTTTGTTTGTTATTTTAGTTTAATTTAAAAATTTTTGAAATTTTAATACAACATAAACATACTGTAGATCCTTAATTTTGAAATCTTTTAAACATCCTTTAAACATCTTATAGTTGTAAAATTTTTAACTAGTTAATCTTTTTACTAGTAAATAAAATGTTAACAGATTTTAATTGCCCCTATTAAATGAAAATAATTACAGGATCCTACAAGTTACAAAATGAGGACAATTTTTGCAAAGAGGTAATCTTAAAATCTTTTTTTGCTAAAGTATTTTTAGAAGCATCATAAAGCTACTTCTGTGGTGGGACCTTAACAGAAAAGTTTCAAACTTCAGGGATTGGCTTTAAAAAATTTAATGCTCTGATCAACACTAAAGACCACAAGACATTTTTTCTTCTTTCAATATTTTATTTAAATTCAGATTAGTTAACAAGTAACATAGTTAAAGTTTCAGGGGTAGAATTTAGAAATTCATCACTAGCATATGTCATCCAGTGCTATTCATAACAAGTGCTCTCCTTAATGCCATCACCTATTTCTACCTCCCTCCATCAACCCTCAGTTTTTTCCCTGTAGTTAAGAGTCTCTTATGGTTTGTCTCCCTCTCTGTTTTTATCTTATTTTAGAAGCTTTCTTAGTCTTGTCCATTTTTGCCATTCTAACTGGGTTAAGGTGGTATCTCAGTGTGGTTTTGATTTGAATTTCCTTGATGGCTAATGATGATGAACATTTTTTCATGTGTCTGTTAGCCATTTGTTTGTCTTCTTTGGAGAGATGTCTTCTCATGTCTTCTGCCCATTTTTTGACTTGATTATTTGTTTTTTGGGTGTTGAGTTTGAGAAGTTTAATAGATCTTGGATATCAGCCCTTTGTAGTGTCGTTTGCAAATACCTTCTCCCATTCTGTAGGTTGCCTCTTTGTTTTCTTGACTGTTTCCTTTGCTGTGCAGAAGCTTTTGATCTTGATGAAGTCCCAAAAGTTTATTTTCACTTTTGTTTCCCTTGCTTTTGGAGATGTGTCTTGAATGAAGTTGCTGTGGCTGATGTCAAAGAGGTTACTGCCTAAGTTCTCCTCTAGGATTTTGATGGATTCCTGTCTCACATTGAGGTCATTCATCCATTTTATCTTTGTGTACATGTAAGAGAATGGTCCAGTTTCATTCTTCTGTATATAACTGTCCAATTTTCCCAGCCCCATTTATTGAAGAAACTTTTTCCCCATTGGATATCTTTTCCTGCTTTGTCAAAGATTAGTTGACCATAGAATTGAGGATTCCTCTCTGGGCTGTCTATTCTGTTCCGTTGGTCTGTGTGTCTGTTTTTGTACCATGCTGTCTTGTTGATCACAGCTTTGTGATATAGCTTGTAGTCTGGCAGCATGATGCCCCCAGTTTTGTTTTTCTTTTTCAACATTTCCTTGGTGATTCAGGGTCTTTTCTGGTTCCATACAAATTTTAGAATTGTTTGTTCCAGCATTTTGAAAAATGCCATTGGTATTTTGATTGGAATGACGTTGAAAGTATAGATTGCTCTGGATAGGATAGACATTTTAACAATGCCTATTCTTCTGATCCATGAGCATGGAATGTTTTTCCATCTTTTTGTGTCTTCTTCAGTTTCTCTCCTGAGTGTTTGTAGTTCCTAGAGTATAGATTCTTTACCTCTTTGTTTAGGTTTATTCCAAGGTATCTTATGGATAAAGAAGATGTGGTCCATATACACAATGGAATATTATTCAGCCATCAGAAAGGATGAATACCCAAGTTTTGCATCAACATGGATGGGACTGGAGGAGATTATGCTAAGTGAAATAAGTCAAACAGAGAAAATCAATTATATGGTTTCACTTATTTGTGGAACATAAGGAATAGCATGGAGGACAGTAGGAAAAGGAAGGGAAAAATGAAGGGGGAAAAATCAGAGTGGGAGATGAACTATGAGAGACTTTGGACTCTGAGAAAGAAACTGAGGGTTTTAGAAGGGACAGAGGGGGATGGGTGAGCCTGGTGATGGATATTAAGGAGGGCACGGATTGCATGGAGCACTGGGTGTTATACACAAACAATGAATCATGGAGCACTACATCAAAAACTAATGATGTACCATATGGTGACTAACATAACATATAAATAAAAAAAGAATGAATATTTTTTTAAAAAGCTTTCTTAGCAAAAGAGAATCTAACATTCTAATTAGAACTTAATTCCAATAAAGATAATTTTACTTTGTTTTTTAAATTAATCTCCACATGTCTGCCTTTATGTGGTGTATCTTATATATAGCTATACATCGTCAGGGGTAGGGTGCTTATTAACTGAATGAGATTGATTAATCTATTGCCCCTGAAATGAAAATTATGGAATAAGGCCTTATGAAGTTGTCTCTTTTTCTAGTAAAGTAAAAGACTTTACTAGAAAAATGATCTAGTCCTTTCTTCACCTAGAATTTGGGGACGGGACAGTGGTTAACAAAAATTCAATGAAGGCGTTAGGAAAAGCAGACTAATCACTTCTCTATAATTTAATATTTTCTGTAAATTGTAGCTAGTACAGTAAGATCTGAATAAAAATAATAATTATATAAATTTAAATGAGGAAAATATTGTAATTCTTTGTAGATGGTATAATTGACCTATAAGATCCAAGAAAATCAGCTAAGAATAAAGTTAATGAGAATATTAATTAAGATAGCTTGGTATAAAAATCTGAATGTTGCAGTATGCCAATAACATGTGATTACAAAATATAATGGACAAAGGAGTTAATTCACAATAACAAAAATGAGAAATGTACAGGATCTAAATGAAGAAAAAGGAAAACTTACTGTGACAGAAAATAACTAATTATTAACTAATGCATGATAGGCCATTTTCCCAAATTAATTTATAGGTTTAGTAATGAATATTTAGTTAAAAAATCCTAATGGGATTTGGTGTGGAAACCAGTGGTGTTTAAGGGAAGTTTCATATTTTTCTATTTACTACCATAATTTATTAAATCATTGCTCTCTTGTTAGATATTTGTTTTTTTCTCTCTTCATTGAGAGAGCAAGCAAGAGAACTGTCGCAAGCCAGGGAGAGTGGCAGGCAGAGGGAGAGACAGATTCCTGTCTGAGCAGGGAGCCAGACCTGGGGCATGATCCCAGGACCTTGGGATCATGACCTGAGCCCAAGGCAAACACTTAATCAACTGAGCCACTCAGGCACCCCTCTGTATTTGCTATTTAAACATTGTTTTTATGAGCATTCTTGTACAAATGTCTTTTACATGTTTACACTGTTAAACTTAGGGGAAAAAGTAGTGGATAGTAGATGATTTGCTATATTAAATAATAAGATATATTGTTAATCTGTAATTGGTAAGACTAGGTGGTATTCGCCCAAGAACAGTCCAAAGACAGACCAGAACAAAATAAATAGCAGATTTATTTAACTTATATAAATGTAAGTTAGTAAGTAATAAATGACCATTTGATAATGTTGCTTTGATATTTTGTCCGTTCATTTAGAAAAAGTACAAATGCCAGGTGGGTTAATAGAAGAAATAAGATATCTGTAATCATTAAATTTATTTTGGGTAAAATATGTATTGTAACATCTAGATAAGGAGCTGGAGATTCTCTTTAAAGTCTTCTGTTTCTAATGTTTTATGATGCACTATATACTTTCTGTTAACATGCTAGGACAGTAGGGAACACAGACACACTCATATACACAAAAATATTTATGTATACACATTTATGGATGCATATTGTATATTTAGATATATTTTTTCAGGCATGTGTTTATATTTTTTTAAGTAAAACTTAAAAATTAGAGAAATTTTTTATGAATACAGATTTGATCTTGCATAGGGAAAGACATTTTAAGATGATATATAAATCATTCAAAAAATGGTTTTTTCTCATGGGGCGCCTGTGTGGCTCAGTGGGTTGAAGCCTCTGCCTTCGGCTCACGTCATGATCCCGGGGTCCTGGGATCGAGCCCTGCATCAGGCTCTCTGCACAACGGGGAGCCTGCTTATTCCTCTCTCTCTGCCTGCCTCTCTGCCTGCTTGTGATCTCTGTCTGTCAAATAAATAAATAAAATCTTTTAAAAAAAATGTCTTTTTCTCAAATATATTCACTTCTTATTTAAAGTATTCATATAAATTAATAAAAATGCTTAAATTTCAACTAAAGATAAGCAATGGTGTGAATAGATAAAAGTAATGATTACCAGGACTAAAACCAGTTTCGATAGATTCCCCAGGTCTCCTTTTAACATGTGGCTCTGGAGTTTCTCACTCTCTTGCCTAAGAAAATGGCCACTCCTAAATCCTAAATTCTAACATGGCAAGGACTTGGGACCTGCATTATTCTTTTCCTTTTTGGCAAATGTACCTAGACCTTTTTTTTTTTTTTTTTTTAAGAGCATATCTTTATTTTGATAGTGTTCAGATACATTGTGTTCTGAAAAAATACATAATAAATGGCTTTATTTTTTCAGTAAACAAGATAAAGCTTCAGAGGAAGAAAAAAATGGATGTGATACAAATTCATTTGAAGGCTCATTAGCAACAAAAAGTGAAGAAAGCAAAACAGTTTCAAATAAGGAAAATGATACCTGTCTTGGAGACCAAAAGACTGGGTTAAAGAATATCTTCAGTCATGATTCAAATATTGATGCAGATAAAGTAGAAAAGGAAAAACAAATAGAGCACATTTGTCAGAAAACAGAGTTGAAGATTTGTCAAAGTTCAGGAAACATAAATTCATGTGATCAGATTGAAGATTCCAACTCCAGTGAAACTAGGTTTTCTTTGAAGAATATTAAGGATTTGCGGTTAACATCTGGTGATGTTAGCATTGACCAGTTTTTGAGAAAAAGAGATGAACCTGAATCTGTTAGTTCTGATGTTAGTGAGCAAGGCAGTATTCATTTAGAACCTTTGACTCCATCAGAGGTACTTGAGTATGAAGCCACAGAGATTCTTCAGAAAGGTAGTGGTGATCCTTCAGCCAAGACTGATGAAGTAGAGTCTGATCAAACTGACAATGTTCCTGGAGAAAATAGCCCTAGCACGACAGAGACAACAGTAGAACTGGCAGATGAAAAAGAAAGAAGTTGAAATTTATTAGTCATTCTAAGTTTAGTGTACCAACGGTAAGAACATTTGGAACAGTGCTATCAGGTGAGCTCAGTGGTGCTGTTTTGGAGTTCAGAAAGAGAAAAATGTGAAGGAAGTCATTTGTATACACTTTACCTGTATGTTCAACCCAGATTCTTAAATCAATTCACTGATAATAGTATGATTTCTATGGATTTCCAGGAAGCCTTTAACACATAACAGGATTTTACTGAAAGTTACATTTGCGATGGAAAATTCTCATTTAACAGTTTGTGAGAAGAACTTTGTGGCCAGTATGAATTGATTATTAGAATATTAATTATAATAATAAAGCTTTTGAAACTTACATCAGTCCTAAGCTAAAAGTTCTTATTACCTATGTATCCTTTTCAGTTAACTTAAAGGAAGAGATTTGGGAACCACATACGTTTTGGGAATAATTGATTAAAAATAATGGCTGATAGGCATTGTTAATGAAGGCTTCATTTTAAGTATGACGCTGGCAAATGGAGCATGCTTAGAGTGCTAAATTAATTGATCTAATGAGAATTTGGATGAACATAAAATCAATGTTGGATTTAATATAACATTCCAGACTGTCAGAAGCATGTAAACAGACTATTTGAATCTGTGTACCTCCATACAAGTGTTAGCCTGCCAGGCTGTAAGCTTACCTTAAACTTTCAGTGAAAGTGAAATTATTAAGATATAAATTTATATTTGTGCTTTTTGTCAATGTGTAAGCTGTGCAGAAATCCTTGATGTGCTAGTTGTATAAAATAGAAACCCGTTGTTCAAATTCCTGTAGCTGTTATGCTTTTAATATTGTTTTAATGATCTTTAGAAATAGACCCATAAAATGGTCTGGAAGCCAAACCAAAGTATGGTATAATGTAGATATTGTAAAGCAGTAAACTGAAAACATGTCCTGGCTCATGCCATGTTTAAGTGACTTTTTCTTTAATTGTAATTTAAATAGAAACTTCAAATGGGACCTAAAGCAGTGATGTAAAAACTTGGTTTGGGATATTTAGCCTAATTTATCCGTATTCTATTTTATCCATAAAATGGCTGCTAAATTGTTTTTTTTCAGTTTTTTTTATCATCTAGAAAATAATAGATATAGAAATAAATAATATGAATAACAGTAGTTTGCTTTAAAGTACTAAAAAAATTTTATTTAAAATGCTACATTTTTACTTCTTAAAATGTGCTTTGAATTCTTAAATTTTGTTTCACTGAATGTTAAGTGTTTTAAACGGCTATTAAAATTCTGCTGTATATAGTAGTTTTTGAGTAAATATTTGCAATAAAAATCTGTCCCTGAATAATTTTATTTTTCAGAAAACTGCTTGAGTCGGATTACCTTTGGCGCCTTTAGAAATTGTATACTTGTTCAAGGAAATTTCATGTTAAATTTAGCGGTAGGATTTCATTCTGTATTCTTTAATTGATGCATGATTTATTTTAAATTAGGACTTAAGTACAGGGGATAATACTGTTAATGTTTGCAGAGAATAGATTTACTTTAAAAATTCTTTTACTTCAAGAGAAATATAATTTACTATTATAGTTTTCTATCTGTTCAGCAAATTAAAGAAGCTAAATAAGCAAAATATATTATTGACTTAGTTTCTTGAAAAGTTGTTCTTGGAGGGCCAAATATTTTTATCTTTCCTGCTACCAAGAAAAGATAGGGAGAGAGGGATGTTAGCTGTTACATTTCATCTTGTTGAAACATAAATCTATAGCAGACAAGATTTTTGGAGTAATTTAAAACTTAGGAAGAGCAAAGAATAGAAGGAATTCTTATGTAAAGGCCATTTTCTGGATCCTGTTTAATTAGTTACCAAACCTATCACCTAACGCTACAAAACTCTAGATCACTGTGCCAAGATAAGTCTCGAAGTGACACTGTTATCCCTTTGAGCTTTGGGTAGTTCCTTCTGCTGTGGCTCTATGTACTTTTAGAGTAGTGGTATTCAAAATAGCTAATCAATGAGCTGTTTTTACCTATCCACTATGAGAAAAGGAACCTGTACAAGACTGTACGTCCTTCATTGAGAAAGTCTGGCAATGAAAACAAAAGTGTAGTTGAAATAACCATTGTTTATGTTCTCACACCATCTCATCTCATTTCCATTCAGGAACAAACAGTTCCGGTGTGCAAATCAAACCTTTGAGTAGCAGTGCTTTAGTTCAGTGGTCAGCAAACTTCTGTGTAGGGCCAGATAATAAATAATTGTGGGCCACAATTATTCAACTCTTCCTTGTAGTTTGAAAGCAGCCGTAGATGCAATGTGAATGATAGTCTGCTTGTGTTCCAATAAAACTTTATTTACAAAACAAGAATGTTTGGCCAATGGATTGTGGTTTGCCTGTGCCTGCTTTGGTGTGCTTAGACTACCAAGAGCCAATGATGCACTCTAGTGACTGCCTCAGAACTACCTACTAAGTAAGGTGCCTTAGTGTATTATAGTTCCCTGTTACCTAACAATAAAATCAGGGTTGATTCTAAGTGCAGTTCAATGACACTATGAAGCATTATATTCATTTTGTGGGGTATACTTTTAATTTACACTGAAACTCTGAATGCCATCTCTATTTGTGTTATTTCTTCCCCTTTGCTTCCTTCCAGTGTTTTAGGGAGGAAATTGGATTTTTTTTCATCCCATAACAATTTTTAAGAACTATCTAAACATTTTAAAAAGGAACTGACAAGATACAAGTCACCTTGTTTTAGCTAAAGTAAAAAAGATAAGGAAACCAAATATCTAAGCAATTATTTGCTTAAGGTTACAAAGCTAAGATTTAAATGAAATTTGATCTGATTCTGAAATTAGTGTTTCTCCCATATCTATAGTTATATTGAATGTCTGTTTTTAAAATAAATTACCTTTTTGCAAATAACCCTCCCATTGATGGTACTAATTGTAGTTTTATTTACTCATACAGTGATTATATGCATTTGGAATGGAGGACTTATTAACCTAAAGAAAAGGACCTAATGATCTCTTTTATTAATAGGATTTAAGGAATTTTACCTCAGGAGGAAAGAGTTATTAATATATTATTAATATAGTAAATGAATATATTATTAATAGGAAAGATAGCAAGTAATTTAAAGATATACTTTGTATAATAATTATAGAAGTTTTAACATCATCAAATATTTATAGATTTCTGTAATGTCATTTTTTTAGTTCATGGTTGACATGATCGTTTTTTGTTCCATCGAAATTATTATTCCAAAACCACTCACTTGTGCTGACTTCAATGAAGGAGGACTTCTGTTGTGTGTAGACACTAAAGAAGGATTGCAAATATTTCCTTTTTACTAGATTACTTTCACACTAAGATTTGTTCTTTCAGCTAAGACATGAATCATTAGACTTATATATTTCTAAGTATTAAAAGAAACAGTTATTTTTAAAGTATTTTTTTAAATGAGATATGAAATGAGATTATTTTAAAAATGAGAGACCTGCAGGTCCATGTAGACAAAATGAATAGTCAAGTAGATTTTTAAAGTTATGGCAATGTTTAATTTTCAGCTCAAAAGCTATAAATAAAAAGATACTTGTCTAGAATCATCTTGTAAAGAATTAAGTACATCTGTAGTAACAAATGTAACATCATAGAGGGATAAGGTATCCTGAGAAATTACTTTTACAGATAAGTAAAGGTAACTTTTGATTGCTTTTTAAAAGTATTATTAAATCACTTTTATTATTTAAAATAATATACTAAAAATAAGTCAGTCTTCTTTGATGACATACTGTGTGATGAATGATGACACACTTCATCATTATGAAGATTATTGAACTAAGCTATAAATGAAGCCATAGCTGCAATGTTAATGGCCTGAATAATTGCAGGTCACAGAAGTTACCTTGGATTTTGGTTTCCAGAAAATACCCCAAGTACATCTGGGGCCATTTGGCTTTTCTGAAAATAGAACAGAAAAGTTGACTGCATTACTCACCCAATCCAACCACTTTTTAAAAATGAATCTCCCCCACCCCAGATATTAAAGTAAAACTTGCCACTTGTGGAGAACTTGGGAGAATTAAAACTAATAGTTTTAAATTTTTTAAATATTTCCAGTCCTCACCCACTGCCTTAAAAACATGACATTAATTGTTCTGTTCAGGGGCTAGCAAACTCTGACCCATAGTTGGTCACTTGCTTTTATAAATAAAATTGTATTAGAATACAACCATATCATTTGTTTACATATTGTCTGTTGTAGCTTTTGCACTGAAACTGCACAGTTGTACAGAACAGAAACCATATAGCTCCTAAGCCTAAAGCTTAAACCTGGCACTTTAAGAAAAAGTTTGCCAGCACCTGCCCTATAGTTTTGTATAGATTTATTTTTGCTATTATAAACATGACAGAGAAGCTCTTAGTTCATAAATTTTGTTGTTATTACCTGTACTAGAATTCTAAGTGCAATATTAGATTGAAGAGTATTCGGTTTATACATTGAAAAATACTAATACTTGGGACGCCTGGGTGGCTCAGTTGGTTAAGCAGCTGCCTTCGGCTCAGGTCATGATCCCAGCGTCCTGGGATCGAGTCCCACATCGGGCTCCTTGCTCATCAGGGAGCCTGCTTCTCCCTCTGCCTCTGCCTGCCATTCTGTCTGCCTGTGCTTGCTCTCTCTCCCTCTCTCTCTCTGACAAATAAATAAATAAAATCTTTAAAAAAAAAAAAAAGAAAAATACTAATACTTAACTTCAATTATCTCCCCAAAATGTTTATGGGCACCCTCTTGTTCCAGCATGAACTTTGAGTTAGGAGTTTATTTACCTAGATTTTTTTCTTTGACTCCTCAAACAAAGTTTTTTGGTTTTTTTTTTTTTAACCTAGTGTGATTTTCATTCGTGCTATTCACCAAATATTTCTAGTATGTGGTCGAATGATGATTCCCTGGCCAACGAGCTGTAAGTGAAAAGTAACTTCTGACTTGGATCATTTAAATGTTGATGTGAGACTCTTTAAAACCTTCTTTTCTCTCTGACATGGTGATAATGATTACTACATCAGTCAGTGCTCCTGAGGGACTGTGAACAGAGAGTCCCTGTTTATTTAGATGGACATGCAGCATAAGGAAGAAAGAAACATTTTTATTTTAAGTTAAGGCAGTTTATTTCAAGTTAGTTAATCCATCTGATAGAGGATTAGCCCTGAAAGTGGAGTGCTGCCATAAAAAGAAACAAAACTGTACTAAATTAAACTATATTGCATTGGTTTAGATGACAGATGGTTAAGTTACATGAGGTGATCCCCATTCAGCTGTGGTGGAAGATTTGGTAAACTTGCCTACAATATTTGGAAGAA